AAAAAGAGGAAGGCGACAATATATAAATGACTACTAGAATCTCTATTGTATTCCAATCCCATTTATGGATATTACATGGTTAATCTCGGATTTGTTTGCACTATTAATGGAAAATTCTTAATGAAAAAAAAAAAACGGAAAACGGAAAACAAAAAGGAACGGAAATGGAAAAAGATTAACTGTTCATATCCTGAAATAATACTTGAATATTAGCGGTATATCAGTATTATTATTAGAAGATAGTAATGGATAGATATTTTTTTTAATGGACATATTCTAACTAATAATGGAAAATGAAAAACTTTAAGGGTTTTCTTTTTCCTTTTTGTGATTTGATGAACCGCTTTACTTTCATTTTGATTTGTTTACATTTTGTACTACGGTGTCGGTCTATATAATGCATGTGTATACGTCTATTATAATGTCACCATTATTTTTTCATCCACTTTTATCATCAAATAGTTGATTTTTCATCTTTACAGTTAAGATAAGAATTTTGTTTGATTCAATCAAATATTTATTAATTTCAATTATTTATAATATTTCTCTTCTTTCTCCCTATATATATATATGTTTAATTTGATAATGAATTTTCAACGATTAATATAGATAACTGATTAAATAACTGTTCTTCCTAGCATTATCATTAATTATAATTTCGGAAAAGTTTTTATTTGCTACATATTTAAATTAAATTTGCAAATTAAATATGTAAAACTTAAAACCACATGATTTGAACATAATATTAAATGTAGATTTTAAATTCGATTTAATATTCTATAGCATAAGTTGTTTCCTTGTTTCTTTTTAAGTACGATAAAATTTAATAAAACAATAGCAAACCATGCAATACAGAAAATATTTTAAGTATTTTTTGATTATCACATACTGCTGCAAACTTATATCTGAAAAAAGATGAAAAAATTCATTTCGAATAAAATGATTAAATGCATTCATTTAAAAATTTAATGAATTAATTTATAATTAAACAAAATGTATGTAATGTAATTGAAATTGAAATGATCGAAAATACTAATGTTTTAGCATTTTATTCGCTGCAAATCTGTAATTCAAACAAACATTGGGCTAAATATTAATCCAAAGTTTGCCAAGATTTAATTAGTCACTTAAATTTTATTTCACTTTCCTTGATCAATTTATCAATCTGTTATAAATGACAATATTTCATTGATATAAAGAAAACATCTGTAATTCTAATCGGACCTGATTTTGAATCCGAATACAAAATATAATCGTTTACTTTCATTTCTGATATATTTCATCGTCCAGAATTTTTTGTTGAATCAAAAAAATTTCGATGATTTTGATCCAATTGAATTGATCGTAATATCTAAATATTCATTGAACTATTTAATATTAGAAATTGAAATATTCGAAATGTCTAAGAATTTGAAAAAGAAAAGATACAATTGAATAAATAAACAATCAAATTGGAATTAAATTAAATCAACACTTTTTTTACATAATTATAGCATTTTTTCCAGATGCATAATTTTCAAATTCATTAACAAAATCAAAACATAAACTTTATTTTACAATTTTAATTAAATAAAAATTAAGTCGGTTTGGGCTAATTAAAATACTTTAGTTCCACCTAATTAAAGTATTCGAATTACTGCACCAATTTAATTACTTATTATTCAAAAATTGAATAACAACGACGGTATACATGTATATTCACATAAATCGTTTACAGTAATATTTTGAAAATTTCATTTATTTTACGTTATATTAGTGAAATTTTTGAAAGAGATGGAAGAAAATAATCGTTTTACTAATACTAGTTCTCTAATTTTTCTTCCATTTAATCAAAACTGATAATTTAATAATAAACTGATATTATTTAATTCATTATTCAATTACACTTTTAATAAATACATCATCTCTTCTTATATTTTCCCTTTTTAAGTTTTAATCAATAATTGTGGAAGAATTCTCAAATAATTTGACCGTATCCATACACATGAACACATATACACACACAGATACATAGACACACAAACAAGTACATAAGATGTATGGTGAACAGAAGAGTTAAAATTGTGATGACCATTGTCCACTTGACACACTCAAATGAAAAGATAAAAGGAAGGAAAAGGAAAAAGTGAAAAAAGTAATGGATAACAAGTTGATAGAATGGTTGACAGGTTGTCGTGCTTAATGGACTTGATAAGTAAAAGGAAATATTCATCGATATTTAAATAGATATTGATTAGTACTTGATAATATTACTTCTTGCTTAAAAACCACTTCAAGATAAGATTTTTTTTATTCAAATTTTTTGTTTATTGTCCGCTTTTCCTTCTTTTTTTCATCTAACTTAAAAAAGACAAAAAATGAGATTAAATTGCATTTCTTGTAAAGAATTGAAAATATTTGTTTAAATCATTTTCCTAGCTATTATCATAAATTTTTATTCAATAAACCGTTTTAATATATATGTATAAGTAATGTTTTCATTTCCTTCTTTTCAATTTAATTGCAACTTTACCATTGTTCATTCTTTCACTTTTATTCTTTTCAGTTTAATTGAAACTTAAATAACTTTTTGATATATTAATCAATGTTTCTAATAATGGAATTTATGTTTACGATGGAAAATATAAAGTTTAATGATAACAATTTTTCCTCAGCCTATTTAATTATGATCAAACTATAATGTAAATATTATCGTTTCATCCTAATAGCATATTATTATTAAAAAAAAAATCTCAAAGACAAATTTTTGAAATATATATATTTAAATTAAAATGAAATTAAATTTTCTACATTCATTGAGAACTTGAAAAGTAATTTATTTTGCATCAAAAAAAAAAAAAAAAAAGAAATTTAACGGTCAAAGTGTAACAGAGGTATTTCTAGATAATTCTTTTTTTTTTAAAAAAAAAAGAGAAAAAGGGAATCGGTAATGATACTTTCCAGAAAGCCAAAAATAATCATTTCATGAAGTGTAT